CAACCCTGTACCTCAGCAACCACTCGTTATGGCTGAAGAACAGAATCAGCAAAATGGCCATGCCAACATTGGTGCTGGAGATGCACCACGTGATCACCGTCAGAGGAAGGGAATCGCACCTCCTACTATCCAGAATAACAACTTCGAGATTAAGAGTGGTCTCATCTCGATGATTCAGGGGAACAAATTCCATGGTTTGCCAATGGAGGATCCACTCGACCACCTTGATGAATTCGATAGGCTCTGCAACCTAACGAAGATCAATGGTGTCAGTGAAGACGGATTCAAGCTCCGTTTGTTCCCATTTTCCTTGGGTGACAAAGCACATATCTGGGAGAAGAATCTGCCCCATGACTTAATCACCACCTGGGATGATTGTAAGAAGGCTTTTCTGTCAAAGTTCTTCTCCAATGCCAGAACTGCAAGACTCCGAAATGAGATTTCTGGTTTCTCACAGAAGACTGGTGAAAGCTTCTGTGAAGCATGGGAGCGTTTCAAAGGTTACATCAACCAATGCCCTCATCATGGCTTTACTAAAGTCTCTCTTCTCAGCACTCTTTACAGAGGAGTCCTACCACGCATCAGAATGCTTCTGGATACCGCCAGCAATGGGAATTTCCAGAACAAGGATGTTGAAGAAGGCTGGGAATTGGTTGAGAACCTTGCTCAATCAGATGGCAATTACAACGAAGACTGTGATAGGACCCGTTAGAGGAACAGCTGACTCTGATGACAAACACAGGAAGGAGATCAAAGCGCTGAATGACAAGCTGGACAGGATTCTTCTTAGCCAGCATAAGCATGTGCACTTCCTTGTTGATGACGAGCAGTATGAAGTCCAAGATGGGGAGGGTAACCAGTTGGAAGAAGTCAGCTACATCAACAACAACCAGGGTGGCTACAAAGGATACAACAACTTTAAAACCAACAACCCCAACCTCTCCTACCGCAGCACCAACGTTGCTAACCCTCAGGATCAGGTGTATCCTCCACAGCAACAACAAAGTCAGAACAAACCTTTTGTTCCCTACAACCAAGGTTTCGTTCCTAAGCAGCAATTCCAGGGGAACTACCAGCAACAACCACTTGGGTTTGCACCTCAGCAAAACCAAGATCCTGCTGCCCCTGATGCTGAAATGAAACAGATGGTCCAGCAGCTGCTACAGGGACAAGCATCTAGCTCAATGGAAATGGCTAAGAAATTATCTGAATTGCACCATAAGCTGGACTGCAGCTACAATGACCTGAATGCCAAAGTGGAGGCATTGAATACCAAAGTCAGATACTTGGAAGGCCAATCAGCATCTACCTCTGCACCAAAAGTTACAGGACTTCCAGGGAAGTCCATACAGAATCCAAAAGAGTATGCAACCGCTCACGCCATCACCATCTGCCAGGATCGAGAGCTGCCAACTCGACCTGTCCCTGATTTCATCACTGGGGACTGTGATGTTCAAGAAGGGGAGGCTTCTACTCAGGTTGAAGTCTCTGTTGTTGAATTCAACCATTCTGCTTGTTCTCGCCATCTCACTCAATCCACCTCAGAAGAGAAGGCCGCCATAATCGAGAGAATGGTAAAACGATTCAAACCCACTCCACTACCCTCACGTGCTCTTCCGTGGACATTCAGGAAAGCATGGATGGAGAGATACAAGTCTATTGCAGCGAAGCAGTTGGACGAGATTGAAGCAGTGATGCCACTAATGGAAGTTCTTAACCTGATTCCTGATCCTCACAAAGATGTGAGAAATTTGATACTGGAAAGGATCAAGATGTATCACGATTCGGATGATGAAAGTGATGCCACTCCATCTCGAGCTGCTGATAAGAGGATTGTTCAAGAGAAGTTAGAAGATCCTGGATCTTTCACTCTACCATGTTCCATTGGGGAATTTGCTTTCCGCGATTGTCTGTGCGATCTCGGAGCCTCTGTTAGCTTGATGCCACTCTCTGTAGCAAGAAGGTTAGAGTTCATTCAATATAAACCTTGTGACCTGACTTTGATCCTTGCGGATAGGTCTTCTAGAAAACCGTTCGGCATGCTGAAAGACCTACCAGTCATGATTAATGGCGTAGAAGTGCCTACAGACTTCGTGGTGCTGGATATGGAAGTAGAGCATAAGGATCCCTTAATACTGGGAAGACCCTTTTTAGCATCAGTGGGAGCAGTGATAGATGTCAGGGAAGGGAAAATAAGTCTCAACCTTGGAAAGCATATCAAGTTGCAGTTTGGCATCAACAAAACTCCACAAGGGTCAACCGAAGATGGAAGAACCTCTGGAAATGATAGAGCGATCTCAGGAGAAGGATGTGAGACTGAAAGAGTGAAAGAACTTAGAAAGAGGTCTGATAAGCAGAATGAAACTATAGAGAAGCTAGCCAACACCATTGAGGAACTTAGGAGTAAGCTGAATCAGATGCAGAAGGAAGCTCAACCTAAAGGCGGGATTAACACTATCCCGAGAAAAGAATTCACTTCAAGATGGTCTCAAGATACAGATTATCCTCCAGAAGAGAAGGAAGCCTATTTTGAAGAAAGGGGGATTGAGTATTCTGCTGCAGACCTCTCCAGGGAGGACGCTGAATATGATGATGGTATCAGAGAGGATTATGCTGACCCTCTCTACAGTTCATTTTCTTCTTGATAAGTGTGAGGAGTCAAGCTAGAGACTTAAAACAAGCTCACTTGGGAGGAAGTCCCATGACTATCCTTGTAAATAATTTTTACCTTCTTGATATTTTTGATTTGTTTTAGTTGTGTTTGTGGTTTTCAGAGACAAGAGAACAACGCGGAGATAGAGTAAAAATTTAAAACTTTTACTCTACAGAAGACCTGGAGATCGAGTGTACAGCCCGTTGGAGTACAAAATTTTGAAAATCTTCTGTTGCACCTGAGACCTTGCACTCGTGTACATTGGTCGAGTATATGTGATGTTTAAAACCCAAAAAATTTTAAATCATCATTTCACTCGACCAACAGAAGCTACAGAGACTTGCAGAAATTTCCTACAGTTTATAGTAGATTTTCTGCAAAGAAATTTTCTCAATCAACAGTGTGTGGACCACGCGCTGAGGATAAGCTGGAGAGAGAATCTAAAACTCAACCTAGACCACTCATTTTGAAGCGCTACTCGACCACTCCAAATCCACTCGACCTTCCACTTTTCATTTCACCACTGAGAACTTCACTCGACCCCCTCCCTCGCCGCCGTCACTAGCCCATCGACTCCGTCAACCGACCAAACCACTTCACTCGATTACTTCCGTATACTCGACCAATTCATCCGCATCAACAGCCGTCTCTTTCAAAAGAAACCGATCGACCTCGCTTCCCGGTCTCGTAGAGGCACTCGACCGACGCTGTCCTAGCCGACTTCAAGAAATCACTCGACCTCCTGAAAGCACTCGACCCCTGCAATAATCTACTCGGCTTCTTGTTCGTGAATTCAGTAGCGCCTTCCAACTTCAGAGAAGCTACTCGACCACTAGCTTTCACGATTCACTCTATCTCTAAGTTTCACTCGACCTGCTGAAGCACCCCAACTCGACCTCTGAGAAGATACTGGATTCATTTCATCTAAGCTCAGGAACAACTCAGGTTAATCTAGTACGGAATTGTACTCGACCTATTCAATCTGTTTCATTGCCTATTGACAATAATTTTGGTTTCATTGCTATCTTTGAGACTAACCTATTGACATTTGAGCTTTGAGTTCTAAATCCCTACAGGAGAATCATGAGCAATTACAGTGGCAGTTCTTCTGTTGATCCTGACTACAACATGGATGAGACAGAATCGTCATCTTCAAGGCCAGAGAGAGAACAGAGAGAATACGAAAGTTTCAGAAGGAAAGCTGAGATAGCCCGAGGAAAGAGAGCGATGACAGAGAGGTATGAGCTTATAGACGAAGATCTGGAGGACGAGTACATGCCTGAACAGACTCGCAGAGCTACCAAACTTCTGCACAAGCCCGACATATTGCCTGCTGAGGAATATGTTAGGCTTTTTAAGCTGAATGAGTTCTGTAGCACGAGGTATCCTTGGTCGACCTCACTTGCACAACTCGGATTGTTGGAAGATGTTCAGCACCTGTACCAAAGTTGTCATTTGGACACTTTGATGGCTTATCCGTATGTAGCATATGAAGATGAGACAATACAATTCCTCTCCACACTGCAAGTAGAGCTCTACCAAGGTATGACCTCTGATGAGTTGGATTGTGAAGGATTGGGATTCTTGCGATTTTCTGTGTATGGTCATGAGTACAGGTTATCAATCAAGCGATTGGAAGGATTGTTTGATTTTCCCAGTGGAACGGGATCTAAGCCAAAGTATGAAAGAGAAGAGTTGAAAGACTTGTGGATCACCATCGGCAGCTCTGTACCGTTGAATGCTTCCAGGTCAAAGAGCAATCAGATACGCAGCCCTGTCATCAGGTACTTCCAGCGTTCTGTAGCCAACGTACTCTACTCCCGAGAGATTACAGGGACTGTCACTAACTCTGATATGGAGATGATCGCAATGGCCCTCAAAGGAACTCTCTGCCAAACTAAAAATGGCATGTCCCTCCAAGGTGAAGTCAATGACACACCTCTCTCTATACTTCTTCTGATCCATCTGTGTGGATACAAAAACTGGGCGGTCAGCAATAACCGCAAGAGAGCACGAGGCGCTCTGTGCATAGGTGGCGTGGTGACACCTATTCTGATAGCTTGTGGAGTCCCACTCATTTCTGCTGGACTCGAGCCGCGAGCAATGGATATCGAGCACCTACGTCACTGCGAATTCCTGGAGTTTGCAATGGTTGACGATTTCCACAGGTTCAGGTTTGAGCACTCTATAGACAGGAGAGATAACATCCTTCTCCCTAGCCCTGAGGTCACACGGATAATCGAGGGAGATAACATTGATTTTAGGCCTGAGATTGGACGCCTCTACTATGAGAACGCTCCACCATTAGATGAGGACGATCTTCTTGAAGAAGCTGCTTCGGATGGGATGGATGAAGATGGAGCAGTGAAGTTCGACACTAGCATGTATCACTTTGCTGAACATGTACCTCCAGCGAGGCAGAGCAAGAGCTTGACTGAAGCTCATAAGAATAACAGTAAATTGCAGAAGTGGTGCAAGAAGCAGGACAAGCTAATCGAGGAGAATTAATGCACCTGCGCACAGGCCTGAGCTTAGCGAGCAGAGAGTCCCACATGTCCAGGCTAGGCATTCGTCATTCGAATCCCGGGAACACAAGAGAAGAAGGAAGGCTACACTCACTCGATCTAGCAGCAGATCACGCCTCATTCACTCGAGGAGATCACTCGACCGCGGTGCTGGCTGCAGCAGAAGGAGAGAGGTCGAGTTTCCTCAGAGCGGTGCTGGCCGCCACAGAGCTGACGAGGTCGAGTACCCACCTGCTGGAGCTGATACAGAACAAGGCGGTTCGTCTATGGCCTGGGAGCAATCGCAGGCAGCCATTGACGAGCAACTACGTTCATTCTTCGACTGAGGTAAGCGCCTCACTTCACCATTGTATTATACCGTCTGTTGTGATTTGTTTCTTCATTTTTTGTTTCTGTGATTGGATTTGTCCTGAGTACTCTCTTCCAAGTTTATTCACACAGTGGACTGTGTGATTTAAGTTTGGGGGAGGGCTCAGGAAGTGTGTGTTGCATTGTGTATAATTTTGAGTCTGCATTCATCTAAGGCATAGAAAAAAACCAACAAATTTGAAAAATTTCAGAAAATGATTTCATAAAAAAAAAGAGTGTTCATGTAGTTGCATCACATTTAGGATCGAGTCTAGAGTGTTTCATTTAGGATTGTTGCATATGCATAGGGGATGATGATGAGATAGCCTTGTAAGCATTTTGATTCACCGGATAAACTCAGTGCCCTCGTTGCTAGTTGTCTGTTGCATAGTCAATGAATTTGAAATAAAACTGAACCATGCCTAGATTGCTCTACTCGACCTCACTGTCATGATCTGATACCATTCCCTATCAATTTGAACCTGAATCTGATCTTTAATTATCATGTCTGCATCAAATTTGAACTCATGGATACCCTAAAATACTTGGATTCTCTTATTCATTTTGATCACTCTTGTTAATCCAAGTAGCTGACTCTTCTTATTAGAGCAGTTAACCCAAACCCAAACCTAGACTTTCTTTCAAGCTCTATATCACTTGTGAGTGTTTGTGAGGTCTTATTCCGATTAAGCTTGGTAGAAAGTGTTAGGTTTGTAACGACAGAGATAGTGTCTCATGTAGTTCTAGTTCGCATTTTTCGGACTAGATAGGACTAGGTGAGTGCTTATACTTTGGGTTGGGATGTGTTTACAAAAAAAAAAAAAAAAAAAAAAAAAAAAAAGGGGGGTTGATTCATTGATGAGAAAAAGTAAAGGACTCTAGGTGAAGTAAGCTAAAGAAGCAGAAAAAGTCTAGTAAAGGTTTTGGGATTTGTAAAGAAAAGAAAGAGTTCTTGTTAGCTATTGAAGATGGGCAAAAGCCCTTGGTTTTAAAATGATAAAAACAGGAACCTTAGTTGTTAAAGAAATCCAAATCCGCTAGATATATCAAAGTGTTGAAGCTTCGCCTAGAGTTAAGAGAAAAGAAAAGAATGATTAGAAAAAGGGTTTAAAAGATTCATGAATGCAAAGGGTAGAGTTTAGTTCTTGTATTGGGATTGGAGATGGGATTACCATTAGAGCTTCATTTGATGTACTCTGGGTAGATGGGATCTTATCTCTGTATGCATAGCTTGGGACTTACCTTTAGCATTCTACTAAAACTTAATCATTTTTTGAGAGATCCCCTGTTACTAAAGCCTATTCTGTAAGGGACCATCTTTGTCTCTTGACCTTTTACCTTAGCCAAATGAGTTCTTTGATGATGCATTGCTTGATTCACGTTCCAGAACTAATGAATGTTAATGGGATTGGTGGATTTGAAAACTTATGTAGGTCGAGCATATGAGTCGGATTGATTGATTAATGAGGCATGGCTAACGTTTTTAAGTAGAATTCGATCTTGCAGCTTAGAACTTTCAACTTGGACATTGATTTCATCTGGTTTATCTAGTGCTTTGGCTCTGAGTCCCCGCTTTCAAACCTCACCTCCAGCATGTTCTTGATTGTTTGCTTGAGGGCAAGCAAAGACTAAGTTTGGGGGAGTTGATAAGTGTGTATTTTGCATGTTTTGAGCATCCATTTGTCATCATTTTAGCATCATATCATCACTGTTTTATACCATTTCACAACATTTATCATCACTTTGCATGTTTAGGATAGTTTTGCATGCATGTTGCATATTTGCGTTGATTTCAGGTGATTTGGAGCTGTTGACGTGCTATCTGGAAGAAGCGGACCTGATCATGACAAATCACTCGACCCAGAGGTCGAGTAGGAGCTTCAAGATCTTAAGAGATCACTCGGCCACCAGGTCGAGTAGGGGACATCACCACTTCACCTCACCACTCGACCCCGAGGTCGAGTGCCATCATCTCTATCACCAGACCGTCACTCGATCACTTCACTCGACCACGAGGTCGAGTGTCTTCACCTCCATCATCAGACAACCACTCGACCTCCTCACTCTACCTAGAGGTCGAGTATCTCCATCACACCACTCGACTGCATACTCGATGACAAGCTTCAGAGCCTTCTTCATTCTGCACTCAACCAGACACTCGAGCACAAGGAAGAAAAGAAGACTCCAGCTATTCACTCGACCTCTCACTCGACCACATGGGTCGAGTACAGTTCTTAATCCGTTCCAATACTTCGTCGTTTTGAGTATTAGGGTTTCGGGATATTTGGCTATAAGTAGCATGTACTTCTCATTTTCGAAAAAGAAGTTTTTAACCTAGTTTTATTTCCGCAGCCTTGTGTTCTAGACTTTTTGTAATCCGGATTTCTCTTTATCAATTCAGTATTCAGCTTCTGTTCTTGATTTTCGTTTACTAGTTGTTCATTCTGTTATCATACTACTGTTACACTGCTGTTATCATGTCTTCAATCTGTTCAACGTTTATGCTTTCTCTTATGATGTCTGAGTAGTGAATAGGTTTCTGAGGATGGGTTAGAGTAGTGTAGAATTCTCAGTATGCTAGGTGATTGAGTATTGATTGATAGATCCCTTCTGGATTAGTTGTTCTTAATGCCTATTGCTTTCTGATCAACTGGAATTTGAGCCCAGACATTTCCGCGCCCAAAAGGTGTTCGATGAAATGTCTGAACCACTAATTCCAGAGATTCGTGACCCTGTACCAAGGTATTGGTTGCAGGGAGCGTTTTGGCTTTAACTTGTTGATTCGTAATGCCTGTTAGGTTAGCTCTCGTCAATGGTGATTGAGTCTGGGACTAGGTTAGCTTGAGAGTCTCTGTTGCGGTGGCACTTAGATTTGGTTAATGAACTTGTTGTCTAGGGTTAATTTATTGAGCATGTCAATCACCTGTAAACTGAGGAAACGAAACTACTCAATTACCCCATCCTAGGAATTCTTTGTCTGATTGATTTTATTGTTTACTCTACTGCTGTTTACTGCATCCTGTCACCTGTTGCTTAGTTTATGCAATTCTTTACTGTTACTCGACCTGATACTCGACCACCCAGTTGTCTGGCAACAGACTGTGCAGTCGAGTATCTTTGTTTCATTTTCTGTCTGTTACTCGACCTGTCACTCGACCTCACCCAGGGCTCTGCGAAGAGCTGTGTTGGTCGAGTGTTTTACTGTTTCTGTTTGATTTTCTGTTTCCTGCTTGTTCACTTAGGATTGCTATAACACACCAAAACCTGTTATTGCTTGGCTTGACTTAGTGACTTCTGATCACATCTTGATTGTTAGCATCACACCCATTTGGATTGACAACCTAAAATACTACAACGACATGATTGGTGTTTTAGGATAATTGACCGAAAAACCTATTATCACAATTAAAAACAACTCTCCAAGGGGTATCAAAGGGGGAGGGAATCGGTTTCTTTGGTGATGAAATTTTGAGCTTGGAACCAATTGAATGCTTGAGGATGAGCTTGGAAGTGATCGAGTAACTTTGGTGAAGTATGATGAAGTGAGAACGAATTCGTGAAGAGTGATAGGGAGAGTTTGGAGTGAAACTTTGAAGCTTCGTGAGAGATGGAGAGGTTGCGAAAATGAGATGATGAAAGAGAGAGTTCCAAAAGTGGGTTTGTCGAATTCAATGGGTGGAGGAGATTGGTGTTTGGTTTCTTGGGAAGGGATAGAAAAGTTGATTGGAAATGGTGAGGGGCATGGGTAATCGCTTTGTCCATTGAGTAAAAGAGTGTTGGGGGAACAAGTGGGGTCACGAAGTTATGCCATGGTCTTCAAATAATGAGAGCTCGAGTAAAGGATCGAGCATCCTCTTGAAGTGCGAAAAATTTGATCCAACGGTGGAGAGCTTCTCATTCTTGCTTACTCGATCAAACGGGCCAAAATTAACTTCTGAAAGTCACGATCAAACGGCGGTGATGCTCCTCTCATTTGGTCATCCAAATCAATGGCTCAAAATACTCCTCCTCATTTTACTCGATCAACGGTTGAGATCTTTCTTGACTTGGTTTGAAATTACTCGAACGTTGACTCCCTTAGGGTCACTAAAACAAACTTGAAACACTTAAACAAAAACATCAAAAATAACAAGAAAAATAGAAAGTTATTTACATGGATAGACATGGGACTTCCTCCCAAGTGAGTTTGTTTTAAGTCACTAAGCTTGACTCTTACAGAGTTTAGTCAGAAAAAAGGTTGAAGAGAGGAACAGAGAAGTCCTCATCTTCAGTGGTTGAATTTTCAATGCTAGAATCATACTCTGCATCCTCTCTTGAGATATGGTAGGACGAGTACTCATTTGATTTTTCTTCAAAATAAGCTTCTTTCTGATCATCAGAGTAATCTTCTTCTTCTGAACCAGGTTCCTTTGACCAATCCTCAAATTCAAAACTGGGGTAGCCTTTAACCATTTCTTGAAGTTACAAGATTGCATGGTTCAGTCCTTCCATTTTGTAAGTTAGCTCCCCAATGGTATCCTCTTGAGCTTTGTATTCTATCCTTAGTTCCAGAAGTTCTTCAGTAACAGAATCAAGTGTCAAGTGTTCTTCTTCCGTAGAGGAGTTGGTGGGCTGTTTAGGCGCTCCTGGAGAATAAGTTGGAATAGGAGTTTCCTCCTCACTCAACAACTTGTTCCA